AGATGATGGATAATATGGCGGCGGAGAGAGTCATGGCAGATGATAGACAAACAGCTGGACATGCACAGAGGATGCTTACAAACCTACACGTACGCACCGTCCTATCATATTTTCAGTTCTGGGAGACGGTCCCATCCACCTGAGTGATGTCCCCTTGTGCTTACTGATTGGTTTTAAGCTGCTCACCTGATGAATCCCAGATGGTGTAGCCAGGCGCGGTAGGGCACACCTGTGATCCCAGCGGCTCAGGAGGCTGAGGCAGGAGGATCGCAAGTTCAAAGCCAGCCTCCTCAACTTGGCGAGGCCCTAAGCCGCTCAGCACGACTCTGTCTCTAAGTAAAATATAAAAAAGGCTGGGGATGGGGCTCAGTGGTTAAGTGCTCCTGGTACCAGAAAAAAAAAATCCCTATTATCTTTCTCCCTGCCCCCCACTCATTTGGTGACACGATTAATACTTTATAAAAACGTTTTGAAATGATTGCTGAGCCACTGGGTGTGACTTCCTCGTGCCCCTGGGGGTAGCTTTAGAGTCAGGGTTCATTTCCCGCATTTAATACCCAAAGAACTCGATTTAGGGTCCTCAGATTTGTTCTTACGGCACGGTTTGCCACCAGGTCTGGGGAGGACCCCGGAAGGTTCTGTGGCTGCTCTTTGGTTTCTCTGCTTGTGGGTAGTTTGCTGGTTTGAATCTCCAGGTCCCTTCTCCTCTGGGGGGGGATGCGTGGATCCGACACGCCCGGGACTCAAGTTGTCCCCGCCACTTGTCTTCTCAGGGAAGTGGCACCTCGGCATGAACTGTCACAACAAGACCGACTTCTGCCACCACCCCTTGCGTCACGGCTTCGACGAGTTCTTTGGGATCCCCACGACCAACCTCAGGGACTGCAAGCCGGGGGAGGGCACGGTCTTCGCCTCGGCCCACCGCTGGCTGGTGTCCGTCCCGCTGCAGGTCATCGGGCTGGCCGTGCTGACCCTGGGGGCGCTGCGCTGCCTGGGGCTGCTGCGGGTGCCCCTGGCCGTCTTCCTCGGCCTCCTGCTCCTGGTGGCCCTCGTGCTCCTCCTGTTCCTCTGCTTCCTGCACTTCTTCCGGCCGCTCAACTGCTTCCTGATGAGGAACTACGATGTCACGCAGCAGCCGTTGTCCTTCGACAACCTCACCCAGAGGCTCACGGCGGAGGCCACCAGCTTCATACGACGGTGGGTGTCCCCTGTGCGCCTGGGGATCCCCGGGGAGAGGAAGCCCTTGGCTTGATCCAAAAAGGGAGGAAGGTTCTCTAGACATTATGTCCCATCCGCGCCCAATGGGCTTCTCTGGCCGGGTCTCTGCAGGGGGGACGCAGGACCCACTGGCTGTGCATTAAGGGGACTCCCCTCGGGAGGACCCCCTCGAGCAGGTGACCAAAGGCCCCGGGAGTCACCTCGGGGTCCACTGAGATGTGCACAATGACAGACGATGACCTTGGGGTCTAAACAGATGGAAAGATCCAGAATATCTTAGGCTGATCCTCGAGCCCAGAATCTCCGTGAATTAACTGTGTGATGTGTGCAATGGGGTCTGGGGGATCCCATTTGGTCCGTGGTCTTGGATATTTGGGACTTAATTGTGAAACACACTTTTTAAAAATTCTTCTAAATTTGTTCTAATTATATAAGACAGTAGAGTGAACTTTGATACATCACATATAATGGAGCATGACTTCTCCTTCTTCTGGTTGTACATGACGTAGAATCACACTGGTCATGGAGTCGTATATATGCACATAAGATAATAATGTTGGATTCATCTACTGTCCTTCCTACCCCATACCCCTTCCCTCACTTTCGCTCCCCTCTGCTTATCCAGAATATCTTGATTCTTCCCTAGTGCAGCCCCCATTGTGAATTAACATCCACATATCAGAGAAAACAGTTGGCTTTTGTTTTTTGGGGAATTGGCTTATTTGACGTAGCATGATATTCTCCAGCTCCATACATTTACCAGCAAATGCCATGATTTCATTCTTCTTCAAGGCTGAGTAATATTCCATTGTGTATATGTACCACATTTTCTTTTTTTTTAAAGAGAGAGAGAGAGAGAGAGAGAATTTTAATATTTTATTTTTTAGTTATCGGCGGACACAACATCTTTGTTTGTATGTGGTGCTGAGGATCGAACCCGGGCTGCACGCATGCCAGGCAAGCGCGCTACCGCTTGAGCCACATCCCCAGCCCCCACATTTTCTTTGTCCATTCACCTGTTGAAGGGCACCTTGGTTGGCTCCACAGCTTAGCTGTTGTGAATTGAGCTGCTATAAACGTGGATGTGGCTGCATCCTTTAACGCAGCTCTGAGAGAGACGTGCTCATGACTTGGTGGTCTTCTGTGGTCTGAGCGGGGTTTGTGGGCTCTGGAGATCCAGCCGGTGGAGGCTCAGTCCTTGGTCTGGCAGAGTAGAGGTGGTTGGCCCTTTAAGAGGCAGGGCCTACCAGGAGGTCATTATTTCAAGGGGGACATCACTCCCGGAAGGGACTGGTCGGCTGCAAATAGCTGGGCATCTTTCTGTGAGTCTGCATTTCCCAGCAATGTCTCAGAAATATCCATCTCTCATGCAAGGACGGTCCCTAAGTGGCCCTTGGATTCTGTGGCCAATCCTTTATGAGACCAAGTTGTCTTTACAGAAGTGACTTAATCGCTTGATCGTGTGAATCTGGGGCATCATAGCAAGACATTGTCGTGGTCTCTCAGTGCAAGAGTTTGGAAGAGAATCAAAAATGTTTTCAATTATCATATTACGATTCTGAAGCCTGACCCGATTATTGGGATTCTATTGAGATTTTCTGCAATTTTCTCCCAGAACCAGAGGTTTGAGAAGTTTCAACAACACCGTGCTTGGAGGTTAGGGTTACTGAGTTATAATGAAAGGGATTTTTTTTCTCTGTCTCTTGGAAATAAATGGTTCTCGTGTACATGACTCTGATTCACACGGCTGGTATTAGGGAAAAAACTAGCATTTTTAGGCCGTGATGTTGTTGACAAAAAGATGCTTCTGACTTGCATGGTCTCAACATGCAAAGACTGAAAGCAACGAGGTAGAAATCACACTTGGATGAAATGGCCCTCTTGTGTTTTACCAGTTACCTGATTCAACAGAGATGTCAAGCAAGAGTCCCGAGAGATTTACCTCCAGATAGTGCCAAAGCGTCACAGCAAAAGTGGCTCGGCGCAGTGTTGACACGGCATCTTTTTCCCCAAAGATGTGAGACACAGGTGCCTTTGAATTCAAAATTGCCCAATTTAAGCCCAGCACAGTGGCACACACCTGTCATCCAGCGGCTCCGGAGGCCGGGGCAGGAGGATCGCGAGTTCAAAACCAGCCTCAGCCAAAGGGAGGCCCTAAGCAACTCAGGGAGACCCTGTCTCTCAATAAAATGCCAAATAGGGCTGGGGACGGGGCTCAGTGGCCGAGTGCCCCTGAGTTCAGTCCCTGGTACCAAAAAAAAAAGAAAGAAATCTTATTTAGATGTGTTCAAAGTTTTAAAAACTTGTGTGTGTGTGTGTGTGTGTGCCTGGCTCCCAGCGCATCATACATCAGAGATGCCGTAAGAAGCTCTTATTTATAAACGTCACCGTGCATGCCGTGTTGCTGGCGGGATTTCTGTGCACGGCGAGCTGCAGATCGGGGAGCGGGAGTGACAGCCCTCGGGGCCAAGACGCTTCACGGGTGTGACATGCCCGCAAATGAGGTCGGCTGCATCAAAGCCGGAACGTGCCCCGGGATCCAAGGCACCTATTTCCGAGGCAGGAAAGTGATGGTTTGGCCTAGGGAGCTGCCTCCTCCCCTCCTTTTCTCCCTGAGGCATGAATTGGGGTGGAGGGTGCTTCTGTTCTCAGAGGGCCGCACAATTAGATGAGGGGTGACCCCGGAGCCGGCTCCTCCTCCGTGCCCTCTAGTTAGCAGGAGGTCCACGTCACCGCTGCAGAGAGGAGGGAGCTGCAGGGTTGGAGAAGGGACCCAGCCCTCCTCGTGCGTCCGGAGTCCTGTCTCAAAGCTCTGGTCTCGGTGCCGTGCGCCGCGAATCCCACTCAGGTGCAGGACCAGACGTGACAGAGACCAGCCCCTGGGTGGTGGCTGCCAGGTGTGCAATGAGGCACCGAGGACGTTCACATTGTCCTTGTGTGTGTCCTGCACACCCATGTCCTCTGCTGTCTCTCGGGCAGGTTTACTGACAGGCACAGTCAGCGTTAACGGGCAGGGAGCTGGGGTGTTGCACGGGGCCCAGGGCCTTGGCTCTAAGCACGAAGGTCTGCACCCAATGCCTGAGTAACCAAGGGAAGAGACGGTAGCTGTGTCTTGTAACTGTGTCACCAAGTAGACCTCGGTGCCCTTTTCTCAGTCTAGCCATCACTGTGAGGGTCTATCTTGCAAAAGAGAAATGATCTAATTTTTTTGTGTGTGTATCATGACCACACAATGAGAAAGGAGTGATAATGGGTGAATTTAGGCAGATCTTTGTTGTCGTTGTTTTTGCGATGCTGGGGATTGAACCCAGAGGCACTCTACTATGACCTACACCCCCTGCCATTTTTTAATTTTTTTTTTTATTTTGAGACAAGGTCTTGCTAAGTTGCTGAGGCTGGCCTCCAACTTGTGATCCTCCGGCCTGAGCCTCCCGAATAGCTGGGATATCAGGCGTGTGCCACCGCACCTGGCTTAACTTGATGATTGTATTCACAAAGCAGTGTCTTCTTTAGTTCAAGTGAAGGTTGAATTTTTAAAAGGCGTCATCCTGTGTGTGGGTGGAACAAGAATCACGTTTTAAGTCCTCTCGCCCCAAGGGAGACAAACCTCGGTTACTCTGCTTTGTGAAAAGCCAGCTTTGCCCTCTAAATTGACCTGAAAGGGGGGCCTTCTTGCTGAGGATAATCATGAACATTTCAGAAATTACTCTGACTCATTCCTAAAAAAAAAATACATGCATGCTCACCGTGAAGGATGAGCCCCCCAGAACAGGGCTGGCTTTGTACCACCCGCGTCATCGGTGTGGCTTAGGGGGACCCAACTGTCAGGTTCACAGATTCATGGGACGTTTGCTTTGCATAGTCTCTCCTCCAGGCCCTGTTGACGTAAGTCCTAACGACTTATTAAATATAGATGTGCACACTTTGAGAGGCCGTTATTCAAAGTCAGGTAGATGCTGATTCTTCTCAGTTGAGCTCAATCAAGGCTAACTCTGGTGCTTCCTAAATGGGTCCCTTAGCAAATCCCAAACTTGCAAATGACGTTTTTAACAGATCTGCTTCCCGTCTGCATCCCCCTAGAGTATTCCCTAGAAGGAGAGAAGTCCCTCCTTCTCGCCTATTTTTTGATTTTTTTGTTACTAGGGATTGAACTCAGGGACACTCAACCCCTGAGCCCCATCCCCAGCTGAACTGAAGACAGTGTCCCCTTAGGGTCCAGTGGGGGGGTTCGTTGCAGGATCTGTCCCAGATCCAAAGTCCACGGACGCTCAGGTGCCTGACCTCAAATGGCCTGGTGCTGGTGTGTAAGCGACGCTCGTCTTCTTACGTATCTCAACCGTCTCCCCGTGGCTTATAACACCTAGGGCCACGCCAACGCACACTTGTTAGTGTTATTGAGGGATTAATGACAAAGAACAAGATCTGTACATGCTCCGCACAGAGACTCTTCTTCTTCTCCCCGAATGCATGCATCTGGCCCGAGGTTGGTTGAATCTGTGGGTGCAGAGCCCCCGGATACAGCAGGCCTCCAGTGGACACTTATGGAAGGATGGTCTCCGTGCGCCATATTGGATCATGGAGGTGCATGGAATTCCTCACTTACCGTGGCATAAGCGAGAACCGCTACCCTTTGCAGGAGTGGCCACGTGACTCCAGCGAGTGGCCTTTGGTGCCCTCGGTTTCCTGGTTCCTACCCGACTGTGGTCACCAGCCGCGGGGTGTGCAGAAGGAACCCCAGGTGCCCCCCCGGAGCTGGGTGGGTGCTGGGAGGGTGTGGCCAGACGCAGTGGGTAACTCAAGGTGCTGTCTTCACTGGGTACCAAGGTGTGTGAGAGTGTGTGTGTGCACGCACGTGCGTACAATGGGTGTGAGCATGGATAGATCGACAGGTAGACACGTAAATAAATATGCATATAAATACGTCAAGATACGTATGTGAGTAGAGATAAACACACACATATTACCCTCTCCAAAGTGAAGATGGCCTGCAAGATGAGTATTTCAAAGTGAATGCTTTTTCCGCGATGTCCGAGTTCATGTTAATTGCCATATAGAGAAGGAAGAGTAAAATAAATCAACCCAATCTGCATCTCTCCCTGATCACACCGTACCTGCAGCACCTCTATGTCCACATGTCATGCCACCAAAATGCCTGGAAGAACAACTTACAGGAGGAAAGATATCCCTTGCCTCACTGTTTCAGAGAATTTGATCCATTGTTGGCTGGTTTCACGGCTCTAGGTCCAAGGGGAGCAGAACAAGATGGCGGCAGGGCCTGGAGGAGGAGAGCAGCTCAGGACAGGGCACCAGGGAGCAGAGAGACAGAGAGAGAGGCAAGAGGGAGTCAGGGACACACACAGTCCCCAAGGCCTCCCCTACCTCCGGCATGCCCCACGGCCCAGTAGTAGTCCATTCATGTTATTAATCCACCAAGTGGATTAATCCACTGATGACGTCATAGCCCTGGTGATCCAATTGTACCCCCTCTGAACAGTGCTGCAAAGCCGAGATTTGGGGGGACCCTGCTGATGCAAACCAGAACAGGGCTCAGGTCTCAACGATGTCATCCTTCTTGTTGCCGTGGAGGGTCACAGTGGGCTGGCTGCTTCCCGGGGACCCTGCAGAGACTGGCCTGTCCTCCGACGGAAGGGCCCACATCAGGCAATGACACTGTGGACGTCTGTGCGTTTCCAAATGGCGTCCCTGAATGCTAAGCTGGTCCTAATCAGAATGGAGGGGGATGTCCTCTATGGTCCCTGACTCTCTCTCTCTCTCTCTCTCTCTCTCTCTCTCTCGCAGGCACGCCGAGACTCCGTTCCTGCTCTTCCTGTCGTTCATCCACGTGCACACGGCCCACTTCTCCTCCAGAGAGTTCGCCAGAAAGAGTCGGCACGGGCCTTACGGGGACGGCGTGGAGGAGATGGACTGGAGCGTGGGTACGTGCGCCTCCCTCTTCTCCTTTGTCAGTTTCTCCCTGTCACCCGGACGCCATGGGCGACCAGGCATTTGTATTTCTTTTCAAAAAAAGAGAAGCCAGGAAGACTGTCCCGTTCAGACTTAGATTAAAAACGCATGCCGCAAACTGGGTTCAGTGGCGCACACCTGGAATCCCAGCAGCTCGGGAGGCCCAGGCAGGAGGATCGTGAGTTCAAAGCCAGCCTCAGCAACTTAACGAGGCCCTGAAAAATTCAGTGAGGCTCTGTCTCTAAATAAAACATGAAAAGGGCCGGGGATGTGGCTCCGTGGGTAAGCACCCCTGGGCTCAACACCCAGTACCCAAAATAACGTATGTCCTCCAGGCCCGTAAAGGATCCTAACTGTACCGTCGTCATCTTGCTCACCTGAGCAATCTTGATTTGTTCCATTGGGATTAGGGAAGGCCACGGTATGTGGATTTTGCAGAGGAATACGCCATCACGGGGCGCGGGATTCTGTCTTGCATCCCAGTCGTCTCTGGCAACCACACCCACACTCCAGTGTCCTCTATTTTTCCTGCCTCCCTTGATGAACTTGGGCGATGTCTAAAATCCCCGGGTCTTCTGTTTGTCCACTCTGAAGAATTCGGAGTAGGCAGGTGGTAGCTTCCTCCTCTAGCTGAGAGAACAGATGATTCAGCAAAAGAACAGGGGCAAGCAGCAATGATACATGCTCAGCTGGGAAAAGATGGTTGTGCATAAAGAACAGGATGACTCCGCCAAAGAACAGGAGTGGCACCAATGGTAAGTTGGGAAAAAAAAATAGGAAATGAGGACATTATCTCCGTGGAGCTTTTGTCTTACTCACAGGGTTGCTCTACTACTAGGTTTCATTTTTTTTCTTCTTCTTCTCCGGATGATTTGGAGAGTGTTTTTCCCTCTGAGATCTGTTGCAGGCTCTGATGGAAGAGGTAATTGGGTTTTCTCCTGTTTGAACAAAAGATAAATTTCTCTGTGTGTCCCGTTCATCTGGGTGTTTTGAGAGCACGTTTAGGTTTGTCAGAAGGGCCTTTCTTCCTCACTCACGAGACTCCTGCAGATTCTGAGATGTTCTGCCATAAAGCACGGGGAAGGCGGTTTCTTAAAAAGAAATATTTTTTTTCTGGGCAGAGGAAAGCTGACGCAGGATCGGTGAGCTACCGAGGACCCAGGGGAGCGGCTCGCGGGGATTTGTGTTGTTTTTTAAATCATCCTACCTACGTGTCTTACTGAAACACGCTAAAAAGGAAGGTTTAGACAATCGTCTTTTTTAAATTTGTTCTAATTAGTGACACAGGACAGCAGAATGAATGCACTTTGATCCATCTCATATAGATGGAGTGTCACTTCTCCTCCTTCTGGTTGGACATGGTGTAGCATCACCCTGGTCCTGTGGTCACACATGCACACAGGGTCATAATGTCCCATTCATTCCACTGTCCTCCCTGCCCCACACCCTCCCATCCCTTCACTCCCCTCTGCCTGATCCGAAGCACCTCAGTTCTTCCCTAGACCCTCCCCCTTATTGGGAATTAGCATCCGCAGATCAGAGAACACAGTGTCAGCCTTTGATGTTTTGGGGACTGGTTTAGGTCACTTTGCGTGTTAGTTAGTTTCCAGTTCCATCCGTTTACCTGGAGGTGAAAGTCCATCAGGTTTTATTGCAAAAAATGTGAGGGCGCTACAGCGGCGACCTTCTCCCCCCGGGTCTCGCGGACCTGGAAGGCGCGTGCATAACCAACAAGTCTCATTATGTCATTGTCCCCGGGGTCAGTTCCTCCCTGGGACCTGGACTTGGTTGCTGTGTTCTTAGCTGCGTGTGTGGTTGTCGTATCCGGAGAAAGGCTGGCCGCACGGATAGAGCCCAGGGGTTTGGAAAGGGGCCTCACGGTGGGAACCTACAGGGGAGACCAGCCTCCCGGGTGGTGGTACCTCTGTGCACATTCCAGGGGTGCTCCACAGCTGTGTGTAGAGTCACGGTGACTGCCTGGGGACAGCCTGCCCTGCGCCTGGCCCTGGATTCTGCACACATGTCCTTCCCTTTGGGCTGCTGGGGCCCCATGTCACGTTCTCATTCCTCGGGTTCCTCGGGTAAGGCAGGGGGGACTTGCAAAAGGTGAGGTGCACAGCCTCAGGTGACAGAATTCCTGATGCATCCTCCATGTTCACAGGCCGGTGTCCCCTCCTGAGCCTGAAGCCCACACCCCCTCTGCCCCTTCTGTCCACATCATAATAAAGACCGGGTCGTGGCTGGGCACGGTCAGCACAGAGTCTCAAGGAAAGGACTCCTTCCTTCATTAATCACGATTACGCGCTGCCACCTGGGTGCCTGGGCGTTGTGTGCAGGAGGGGACCACAGCGACGAGAAGCCGTTGGCCCCCCGCAGAGATTGAAGAACCCTCCGGGACGTGGCGCAATGAGAACTCAAGGGCTGGCAGGCGCAGGAGATGGGTGCAGCTGGCCACCCCCTGCAGCCGTGGAACCCCTGAGGCCGTCATGGTCATGGGACGTGGCCACGTCGGATTTCCAGTCCCAACTCATGGCATTGGGGTCGGGGGAGGGCATAAATGTGTAAGATCCCAAGTGGGCACCTAGAAGGTCAGGGCTGTCCTCGGGGCCATTTGGACCGTGATGTCGGCGTGTTCATGGAGGACAGGGGGGTGGACGGAGCAGGTGGAGGGATACCTCGGTTTTTCCAGGGCCGTCTCCTCTGCAGCGTGTACCACCCTGGTGCCCCCTGCTGCAGTGCATTAAGCAGAATTTGCATTCAGTCAGCGTCCATTCCCAGCCTGGGGCTAGTACCGGAGCTTCGTGGGCAGGGTCAGACTCAGCGAGTTGTACGTGATTAAGAAGGGAACGCGAGCAGGTCAGGGTAGGTCAAGGCTAAAAGGGACGTCTGCCTTTAAAGAAAGACTCTTACTGGGGAACAAAAGAAATCCCAACCACGGCTCAGGGTCCAGGTCAAATTTTTTGGTCTATTTGTTTTTGACTTTCGAGAGTCTCAGTTTCCGAGGAGAGTGGTGAGTCTTTCTCATTAGCTAGAAAAAATTTTTTAAAAAAGAGACCTTCAAGCTAGGTCCTGAGGTTCCCGGAGGCTTCGCGGGTTCAGGTGGTCAGTGCCTTGGAATCTGTGGCTTGGCCCCTGTTGGTGGTCATGTCTCAGGGTTGCTTTTCCTTTGATGGCAACATCCTCTCTGCTCTGCTGAGGGCTGGGCGGTGCTACGTGCAGAGGCTCGGCACAGAAGGAAAGAAGGGGTGCATCCATGACGATGCTCTGGGGAGACGGGGCGCTCTCAGTGCCTCTGGACTGCCCCTGACGCGTAGTCACACATGCACAGCAGACATGGCCATGCGTCCACCCCTCTGCAGGGGTGCAGAGTAAATCAGACGTTCTCCTTCATAAGAGCGCAGGATGGAGTCCAGGAATTATAAGAAATCTCTGTTTATGGAAAGCAGAGCTACGGTCTGAGTCCCTCCGATATACGGAATGATTTTATCCAGAGTTTGGCCACTGGACGGGGTGCTGCTGGGTTGCCCATCTTCAAATGCGGCCCTTCTAGGAGGATTGGAATAAAATAGTTATGGGAACTTAGGGTGCAGGGTGCAGCAAATAGCCCCCCCCCCAGTTTATAGGTGCATTTATGGGTGCAAAATTGCCCTGGGTTAGGTTGCATGGGGAAAAGCGCTTTTTAGAATTTTATACACCAGGTGCATACTAGGTGCTCCATAAGTAACTTTTAAAAGTGAGATCCCGCTGGGCGTGGTGGCATATGCCTGTCATCCCAAGCAGCTCAGGAGGCTGAGGCAGGAGGATCACAAGTTCAAAGCCAGCCTCAGCCACTTAGCAAGGCCCTAAGCAACTCAGTGAGACCCTGTCTCTAAATTTAAAAATAAGAAGGGCTGGGGATGAGACTCAGTGACAAAGTGCCCCTGAGTTCGATCTCTAGTACCAAAAATTAAAGTGAAATTCTAGAGGACAGGTGCCTGATGTTTGCAAAGCCCCGTCCAGAGATTGCTAAGAGCATGGTCCTCAATGAGGCTGGGTGTCTTTCCCCCGTCTATGTAGATGACGGCCCAGCCACGGGCTTAGATAAGACACCCTGCCAAAATGCTGAAGGCCACTGAGCACCCCATCACCCACAGTTTGTCTCCATCTAGATCTAGGATAAAAGCTGAGACGTCAACCTTCTTCTCTCGCCTTCTCGCAAACCGCGAGGCCTCCACAAAGCCCGCGTTCTCTTGGTCAACCTTCTGTTCAGCTCGGAAGGTGGCCCGGACCTCAGGGCTGTGTGTCTCAATAAGTAACTTGCAATTCAGTGTGTGACCTTTCCGTCTTGAGTAAAGTTACAGAAAAGTGGAGACAGATGGAATTCGGGGGGGGGGGGCAGAGAAGTTCAAGGAGGGAGGATCAACTCGAGATGCATCAGAAAGGGGTAAATAAAGGGACAAATTGAATGCAGCCTGTATCGATTTCAGAAGGGTTGTGCATGATATTGGGGAAGCCGTGGCCGATTGAAGACAAACGGGTGAATTTGCAAGAAGGCGTAACCTATCAGGCTGTGTCTGACGTCAGCTTTGCTTGCAGATGAGGATTTCGGTGTCGGTATCAGCAATGAGCCTGAATCTGTTTTCTGTTGCTATGAATGAAAGCCACAGACTGATTTATAAAGGATGAAGGTTTGCTAGGCACACGCCTGTCATCCCAGCAGCTCAGGAGGCTGAGGCTGGAGGATCACAGGTTGGAGGCCAGCCTCAGCAACATGGAGAGGGTGGGAGGGAAAGAGGGCAGATGGGAGCCGGTGCCTTGGCTGGCCATGGAAGAGAGACTCCAAAAGACCTTGCAAGGGACGGTCCTGGTTCCCTGGATCTGTAGGATGATGGGTGGGAGGCAAGTTCTGTGTCTCGAGGAGATGGAAGATTCACAGGGAGCCTCCACTTGACAGAGAACCCCCAGCTCAGCCGTGCCCGGCCGTGCTGGGGTT